AACTTTTGATGTGACGCTAGTTGTACCAAAGAACCTTGTGGCTCTCTCCAACATGGTATGAGAGCAACTATAGATTCATTATGATTAATGGTTGAGTGTATGTATACATTACCTGTTATATCTTTGTGTGTTCTTTTCTCTCTCTCTCTCTTTCTCTCTCTCTCTATCTTAGGATGTCAAAGAGACAAAGGAAGATGGTGACAACAAGACAGTTGTATTTAATCGTACTCCAATAATGTCAACATATCTACTAGCGTTCATAGTAGGAGAGTATGATTATATTGAAGATAAGGACAGCAATGGAGTAGTAGTGAGAGTCTATACTCCACTGGGGAAGAAAGAGCAAGGAAGATTTGCACTAAATGTAAGAAAAGAAAAGAATTATCTACTTCCTCTAATACTCTCTCTTTCAGATTGCTACAAAGACTCTGCCCTTTTACAGGGAGTATTTCAATGTTCCTTATCCTCTTCCTAAAATTGATCTTATTGCCATCCCTGATTTTGCAGCTGGTCAGTTCTTATAATAAATCCATCATTTCATTTGATACTTTTATCAGGTGCTATGGAGAACTGGGGTTTAGTTACGTATAGAGAAAGACTCCTACTCGCTAGTGAGGATTCTCCTATCTCCAGTAAACAGATTGTGGCTATTGTTGTTGGTAAGCAGCTGCTCTCTGGTGCCTCATTCGCCATTTTATTATCTTGTTTTATGTAGGACATGAACTGGCCCATCAGTGGTTTGGAAACTTGGTGAGTTAGTTAGTTAGTGGCCATAAGTATCTTAAAATATTATCTTAATATTATTATTATTATTTATTATTATTTCTTCATAGGTTACGATGGAGTGGTGGACTGATTTGTGGCTCAATGAAGGTTTTGCGTCTTGGATTGAGTACCTGTGTGTCGATTATTGTCATCCTGAGTTTGATATTTGGACGCAGTTCCTGGCGCAGGATTACGCTCAAGCATTGAGTCTCGATGCACTGTCCAACAGTCACCCTATTGAGGTGAAATTTTTAGAAATTGGATTTTTATGAATTAAAAAAAAATTGGGCAAAAACACAAGCCAGGAAAATTGATGCATACTAAAACTACTAAAATTCTTAGCCAAATTTTGTCAAATGTCGCTAAAAGATATTCCTCCATTTTAATAATATTTTTAATTCTACATGTTTTTATTTTATGTTCAACATGTACATACATGTACTTTAAGTTGAGTTTTTCATTTATTTATGTTTGGTTTTAGGTTATAGTTGGCCCACCATCAGAAGTTGAGGAGATATTTGATACGATTTCCTACAGCAAAGGAGCCTCCGTCATTCGAATGTTGCACAATTGGATTGGAAATGATGTAATAAATAATAGGTATATTATTATTATTTTTTTTTTATTTTTATTATTTAGGATTTTCGTAAAGGAATGAATGCCTATTTGACTAAATATGAGTACAAGAACACTAAGACAGGTTAACTTTTGAAATTATTGTCCCTCCTCCTCCTTTTTATTGTTCGTCCTTTCCTCCTTTAGTTGATCTCTGGACTTGTTTGGCAGCTGCTAGTGGTAAGCCAGTAATGGAAGTTATGAAGACTTGGACACAGCAGATGGGATATCCAGTACTGACAGTTGACGCCAAACAGGTTTGAATGGCATTGAATAAAGTCAAGAATATTACAAAATAAAAAAATTATTGATTTTTATCATCTTTTTGGTAATTAGGAGGGCAATAATCGTGTCCTTAGCATTTCGCAGAAGAAGTTCTGTGCTGATGGAAATATCAAAGGTTTGACAAAAATAATATTTTAATCACACAATTTTTCCTCTCCTCCTCCTCCTTCCTCTCTTGTAGGATTTGAAGACATGTTATGGCAGGTTCCAGTTACCATAGCAACACCTCAAAATCTAACTGCATACAAGTTTGTATTAGATAAGACATCAGCTACTGTCACTATTGAGGGACTCAAACCAACTGACTGGATTAAGGTAACAGACCATTTTACTTTCTTAAAAATGGCTGTAACTCAAAAAATTGAAGTCGGAATCAGCTCAAACTTTCTACACAGCATAAGAACATCAATATGTATCAGAAAATGTAATAAAAATTGGGGGTGATTTCGGAGCCATTTTTCAGAAAAAACCATGGGCTATAGCCTTGGGTACTTTTCAGAATTTTGGCATTTTCTTAAAATGGCCATAACTCAAAAAATTGAAGTCGGAATCAGCTCAAACTTTCTACACAGCATAAGAACATCAATATGTATCAGAAAATGTAATAAAAATTGGGGGTGATTTCGGAGCCATTTTTCAGAAAAAACCATGGGCTATAGCCTTGGGTACTTTTCAGAATTTTGGCATTTTCTTAAAATGGCTGTAACTCAAAAAATTGAAGTCAGAATCAGCTCAAACTTTCTACACAGCATAAGAACATCAATATGTATCAGAAAATGTAATAAAAAA